TCACGTCGCGATGTTTCCAGAGAGAACAGCTGTAAGGTCCGTGCAGAAAGCAGAGCAGTGTGTATAATATATATCACTCAGTATAACAGGCCTACTCTCTTTATTTGCTTTAGTTTAGTTGATATCTACAAACAAAGAGTCGATATTTTTCTAAGACCATTTAGTGCTTCACATAATAAAATACACAACGGCTTATGCTTTAGGAGCTGTAGGTGTGTGTGGTAGGAGTGTGTAGGTGTGTGTTGTACAGTGCGTAAATGCGGCGGACAGACGGGTCTCAGTTGGTTTGGTGTCCTCTGCTTACTTTTAATACTTGTAAATACAACTTTTGGCCCGTAATTTCAATTCCCCATTTCAGCGACCAGAGAGAGGGGGGGGGGATATATCCAGTCTCTGATTGTGTTACGTTATTATGAGAGTGCTCTCATACTTTAAAAATTGTATATATTTATATAAATATATTTGTGTGTGTGTGTCCGCATCTGTAGCCTGTTATTGTCTCATTATACCGCACTCTCAATGAATTCAAAGTAAATATGTGGGGGAACAAAGTTCAGCTGATCTAACAGAGATACAGCGCTATGACAAAACACTCGACAGCTGATGCAGCTGTTGCCACGTCATAATGAACGGACATCTCTTTAAAATGACCGCTCAGAGGAGAGGAGTTCTCATTTCTTTAAACATCTGCTGCTTCCCCTCCTCTCTCCTCGGTTCCCCTCCTCGGTCCTCTGCTCGCATCTCCTGTGGGCGGGTCTAAGTCTCGAGGAGGGGAACCGAGGAGGGGAACCGAGGAGGGGAAATTTGAGTATTGAGAAGCCTCTTGTGTGTGCCTTCTTAAATCGTTTGTTTACGTCCCTCACTTCCGTTTCGCTTCTCATGCACTGATTCGCTAGCTGAACAGCCAATCAGAGTGATTGCTTGGTCCGACTGCCTGACCCGATGCATGACCATGCATCGGGTCAGGCAATCCAAATAAGGCGTGTCACGGCCGACGGTGCGGGACACACCAATTTGAGTTTGGGCGACAGGACACGCTTCGTCTTCCGACTAACGAAAACGGCCGAAATCGGCCTGGTGTTTCAGGGCCTTAAGGGGCAGTGAAACGTGAGGGCCTAACACAGCTGAATCCCAACTCCCAAGGCTGAAGCTCACGTCAGGGGTGCTGGATCCCTCAACAAAAGACACGACAGTATATCAGTTCATTGGATACAGATTCATACAGATAATAAAAACACTAATACTCTTGGGAGATTAGTAATTGGAACAACAATGTAAACAAAGGCATCAAAAACGAACAACTATAACAAACCAAAATAAGGGAAACAAAACAGTAAAACAAAACAGCAGTGGTGGACAATCTATAAAAGAACAAAGCACATGTTACAGAAAGGCCGCCATAAACATTAACTTTGTAAAAAACCATGATCGCTCATACCTTATGACACACACACACACACACACACACACCACACACACACACACACACACACACACACACACACACACACACACACACACACACACACACACACACACACACACACACACACACACACACACACACACACCCACACACACCCACACACACACACACACACACACACACACACACACACACACACACACACACACACACACACACACCACACACACACACACACACACACACACACACACACACACACACACACACACACACACACACACACACACACACACACACACACACACACACACACACACACACAATACTGCTGGTCTTGTCACTGTCACAGGCAAAGCCACACCCAGAGCCTAACATGTCACGGAAACGTCTCGGTCGAATGGGGAAGAACTATCAGGTATCAGATGTTTAAATATTGTTTACAAAGTGAAGGGAATGCGGAAGTGGGCGGTACCTCTGGAGCACAATACTACGGTGGCCGAAAAGCGGTTTACCTATAAGGTCAGCTACACTCGGATCAAACTGTAAAAATATGCAATGCTGATCAAACATGAATAATAGTTAGTTATATAGTTCGTTAGATAGATCACTGATACTTTTTTGGTACTATTATATGTTAATTACATTTATTTTAAGGCATTTTTGTGACCGTTTCCTTATTTTTATTGCTGTGGACGTGTAAGCTTTGTACCTTCACATATGAAAAGAGGGGGAAACTACTGAGACATTACAGATTGAAACATGGAGGGTACACAAGAACACCACCATTACCGTGTGTTCATGATTTGTGCTGCACATTTAAGTCCTTCAATGCTATAAAGACACATCAATCAAGAGCACACTCTCAGATTGATTACCATTGTAGTGCTGCTCCAATGTCAACTTTGTGAATTTAAAGAACCATGTGCATACACATATCCGGATGCGCCAAAATGTTCAATGCCCCTACCAGGATTGTCATTTTGAAATCAGTGTCTATACATTATGTAATTCCCACAAAAGCAGGAACCGTGATGGCAGACAGAGGCATCGTTTAAGATGGGAATTTTGATGAATACAGAAACATTTGATCAAACTGAAACTGCAGTTGTCCAGACTGAAAATGAAAGGGACATTCAAGACACAACAGATTTTGAAGAAGATGATTTGGTGGTAGATAATATCGATGACTTGACATGGCAGCTTGAGAATAATTTGGCAGCCCTTTTCCTCAGAATGGAGGGGGCTCTCTCATTCCTCTCGCACCCGTGTGAGCCTCGCGCTGCGGCTGTCTGTTGTTGTATCAACTACTATTAAATGATTGTTATATTTTCATACCCCTCGTCTCGACTCCCAGCTTTTTGTTACAGCCCAAGAGCCGGGTTGTAACATGGTAGCTGATATTAAACAAAGTACAACAAATATGCTCTATAAGGTGAAACACATACATGTAAAATAGAGATTATTCAGTGAAAATTACACACAGTAGGAAAATATAATGAGGATATATTTGTAATAACTATTTCTGAACTTGAGACACTCTCTTTTTGGAATTTTCAAATCTCACAGCCTTCTTTACGTACACAGAGAATACAATAAATAAACTGGTTACATGATAACACATTTGAAAAAATATTCCTCTGTAAAACATTTAGAAAACATTTTTTGCATTATTTTTTAAACATTAATAGCATTAAAAGTGCATATAAGATAAGATAATATGAGATAAGATAAGAAGTACTTTATTGATCCCAATTTAGGAAATGTTGGGTGGCAGAATACAATACAAATTCAAAGAGTAGAAATACACAAGAAAGTAGCGAATATACATGTTGAATTTAACCAGGTATTACATATACAATACAATACAGCTTTATTTATAGAGCACTTTAAACCTCCAGACCAAAGTGCTGTACAGGCAAATAAACAAAACAAAACATACAAAAAATAACGCAGCACAGCTCACACACCATAAAACAAGTACAAGTAAAAACAATAGACAATTTAAAAACAATAAAAGCAATGCTCTAAAATATGTTAATACGCTAAGGAGAAGAGGTGAGTTTTAAGAAGTGATTTAAAACAGGCAGTGTGGAGGCCTGTCTGATGTGCAGGGGCAGATCGTTCCACAGTGTGGGAGCCGCTACAGAGAAGCAACGGCTCCCTCTGAGCTTTGATTTGGTTCTGGGCACATTCAGGAGCAGTTGATCCGCTGACCTGAGAGGGCGGTTTGGGCGTGTAAGGGTGTAGCAGCTCAGAAAGATATGGAGGGGTCATGCCATTTAGGGATTTAAAAGTAAATAAAAGGATTTTGAAATGAATCCTAAAATGTATTGGCAGCCAGTTCAGCGAAGCCAAAATGGGGGAAATGTGGTCATATATCCGTGTGCCAGTTAAAAGCCTTGCTGCTGCATTTTGCACCAGCTGCAGACGAGCGAGGGAGGACCCACTGACCCCCATTTAGAGAGAGTTACAGTAATCCAGACGAGTGGTGACAAAGGCGTGGATTACTGTCTCAAACTGCTGTCTGGAGAGAAAAGGTTTTATTTTGGCTAGCTGCCTAAGGTGATAAAAGCTCGTTTTTACCACCGATTTAATCTGACTCAAGTTTTAGTTCATATATATACACTGAATATAGTGACATTTATTTAGGTAACAACGCAGAAATTCTAAGTAGATTTTACAGATGATATTTAAAGTAAATTCTACTTACAGTATAGAAGTGTTTATAACAACAGGTACAGGTACAAGTAAACTTTACTGTGTTTTCTGTTTTTGTTACTTAATTTGACTCACTATTGCATAGTATATTTTACTTAAATATTTAAGTAATATTTACATGTTATGTATTCTACCTTTAACAGCACTACTCTAGTATGTGTTTGTTATATTATGGGCTTCTTTTATAAAACATATTAAAACCCTGTCAAATAAGGGGATACAACACATGAAACAATGGACTCTTTAAAACAGCAACTTTATGTTTTGAAACACTAGTATCAGCCAGGACTAAGCAACAGTTTACAATGGTTCAAACATATACAACCTGGTGCACACAGCACCTACAATTTTTTTCATCTCACAGCCTTCTTTACTTACACAGAGAATAAAATAAATAAACTGGTTACATGATAAAACACTTTAAAATATTCCTCGGTTAAAACATGTAAAACATTATTTTTCCATTATTTGTTAAACATTAATCGCATTAAAAGTACAAATACTAAATTCATTAAATAAATAATAATTATCAGAATAATATATTTTTTGAATTCTCGTTCTATTATTTGTTCTTAGTAAATCAAGGCCAATCTTAAAAATATAATGCAAAAGTGATTTGAAGTCATTATAAGGTATTAAACAGTATTGCAATGATGAGTAAAAGAGTCTCTTTGTGTCGACAAATTTAATGAGAAAATAGAAAACAGGTTTTCGATCAGATGTACTGACAAAATAGAGAATAAAACAGGCGTCACATTTGAGCCTAATTACCAAATTATAATCACTAATGCTTTAACTCGAATCACAATAGTATATGAAACACATTCAGTAAAATAAAAACAGGCTCTATACATCGGAAATGAAGATTATTCTATAACAAATACAGTCAGTGAGCGATGAGGTTTGAGTCTACCTCACAGTGATTATAGGGAAGTACAAACATAACATGATAAGAGGAAATGCATCTCGAGCTGCACTGGTCACAGCTGTATGGTTTCTTTCCAGTGTGAATGCTCTCGTGACTTCTCAAGCCAGAGCTCTGTGAAAAGACTGCTCCACATTCCTCACAGCTGTACGGTTTCTCTCCGGTGTGAACTCGCTTGTGGGTTTTAAGCTGAGAATTCTGATTGAAAGTTTTCCCACATTGTACACACCAGAATACTTTCTCTTTAGTGTGAATAACCCGATGACGTTTGAGGTAATCTGAACTTTTAAAAGTTTTCCCACACTTGTTGCAGATGTGCGGTCTCTCTTCTTGGTGAAATACTTTATGCTTTGAAAGCTCACTGTGAGTGCGGAAGGCTTTGTTACATGTGTCGCAGATTTGCGGTTTCTCTCCTGTATGAAGCAGTTTGTGGATCACCATGGCTTGGTGACAAGAGAACCTTTTCCCACATTGGTGCACATTTAAATATTCAACAGTTGTGAAGGATTTGTCACAGTGCTGACAGCTGTGGTTTTTGGGTCCATCTTTTCTCCTTGGTTTCTATTCAAGACAAACAGAAAGTTGATCAGACAAAAATCTAAAATAAGACATTTCTTCAAAACCTTGAATAATTTTAAGATCTTCATTTTTTTAAATGCTGTTTTTCTTGATATTATAGAAAAACAAATCTTTATTTATTTGTTTTTTACAATTTTTTGGACAAAATATACTTAAAATATACTATACTTACTTTGGCGCACACATTTTTTATTTTGTTTTAATTCATTTAACTGCAGTTACCCTTGGCTTTTCCCTTAGCTTAGATACCGTTTTTTTCGGCTTGCTGCTCCTCATCTCCTGCCTTCTTGCATCCTCCATCCTCGACTCTTCCTCATTCCTCTCCTCTTCCTCATTCCTCGCCTCTTCCTCCCTCCGGTTCCTCCATCCTCACCTCCTTGCTCTTCACATTTTCCTCCAGGCAGAATAACGTCTTCTCACACATATTTTCCAGGTGAGTGATCTGCAGGTATAGGGACAGGTAAGCTTTGTTATTTCTGAAAAGTTTTTCATTTTTCAACACAAAAAGACACATTTGCATCATTGTCACAGAGTAAGAGAATCAGGACAGAATAAAGAGGAGGCAAGTGGAAACAGAAAAGCAAGTTTTAGAGAGTTATATAAAGCTGATACCAGCCCAAGGAAAGCAAAACAACGAAGATAAAGAAAAAACAATCAAGAACAGAACAGAGGACACGAGCGGGGAAACCAGACAGGAAAATAGACAAAGGAATACAGGCCGATATACACACAAGACACAAGAAGACAGGAATAGAAACCAGATGACTGTTGAATGTAGGGCTGTGCAATTAATCATATTTTAATCTCGATTACGATTTTGGCTTGCAACGATTACAAACACAAGTAAATTGAAATAAAACGATTATTTTGCGGCGTGCGCTTTCGCCCCTCCCTAAAAGACCTCTCCACCAGGTTGTGAGTGACAATAGTTGTGTGAGTTCAGCTCGAGCGAAGAGGCAGAACAAGAGCAACTCATTACATTAATGCACACAATGTTTAAATATTGCTTAGTGCACATATTTTATATTGTATAATTCACTACATTCTATTTAGTTGTAAATTACTGCTTTATTTTATTGCTATATTACTATATTTTTATTACAGTGTTCTTAATATAGTTCGCTATCTGTGTACTTTTTAAAATGTTTGATTTAAATGTTATGTATGCACCATGACATCAAGTCAAATTCCTCGTACGTGTAAAACTACCTGCCAATAAACCCCTTTCTGATTCTGAACTCGTGACCAAGAAAGGTAAAACGAATTCCTCTGTTTGGAAATACTTTGGGTTTAAGGAGTCCGACGTGGAACAAAAACAAGTACAGTGCAGCAGGGCGGACTGGCCATCTGTTGTTCTCCACTTTGCAGTTGAATTATACTCAAAGTTCAGGGTAATCAACTTTTAAAAAGATACTTGATATTTTTATTTTTGTTTTAGGTTAATAAATGGATGTTTTCAAAGTCAATGATAATCATATTTAATAATTGTGATATCAATATTGACCAAAATAATCGTGATTAGGATTTTTGCCATAATGGAGCAGCCCTAGTTCAATGTGTTATAATTAGGGCTGTCAGTCGATTAAAATATTTAATCGCGATTAATCGCATGATTGTCCATAGTTAATCGCGATTAATCGCAAATTAATCGCACATTTTTTATCTGTTCTAAATGTACCTTAGAGGAATATTTTTCAAGTTTTTAATACTCTTATCAACATATGAGTGGACAAATATGCTTTATGCTAATGTTTATTATCATTTGAACAATGACAAATATTCTCATGAATATAAAACACAACAACCTCTGAACATTACAAATATTCGCCTCAATTCAACCTGGAACCTCTCTCATACAATACTGTGTGTGTGTGTGTGTGTGTGTGTGTGTGTGTGTGTGTGTGTGTGTGTGTGTGTGTGTGTGTGTGTGTGTGTGTGTGTGTGTGTGTGTGTGATGGATCGTTGGAGCTATGTGCAACTCAAGGCATATGCTCTAACGGGAGCTGCCTGGACGCTGCAATCATGTTGCGCGCACTATCCGTGCTGAGTGTGCTGACTTTTCGTACAATGTCCCACTGTCTGGCTTCCTGCATAAAGTCAAGTGCTCGGCGCAGTTGTGGCGAAATGTCGCTCCTCTGTTTTCATTTAAACAGCTCCTTATATCCGTTAGCGCAGCTAGCTAGCACGAGATGCTAACAACAACAATGCACGTAAGGTCTCTCTCTCGCTCGCTCGGGCCACACATACACACACCCTCCCGGTCCTCCCGATAGCCAGTCGGTGCCTGCCGGTGAGCGTGGAAGTGTGGTCTGCCACAAGCGGGCGGCAGGAGCGGGGCTGTCAGCATCAGCTTGTAGATGGTATTTTAAACTCGATGCGCTCTGAAACTACGGGGCGGCCGAGGAAAAAAAATACACATGCGTTAATCGCGTTAAAATAATTAATGGCGTTAATTTTTTTTTGCGTTAACGCATTATTAACGCGTTAACTTGACAGCCCTAGTTATAATCCCTTTAAAACAATGTGCATGATGTTTTGTTTTTGCTCTGTCTTTCTTTGCTTTAGTCCTTTTTTTAAATTACATAATACCATTATTACAACAACAAATACAAATGGATTAGTTTGTATTCATTACACATAATATTCAACCAATGGTAATCAATGTTTTCTTTCATTCTGACTAAATCTAGAGTAATATACACATAACTACCAGTAGGGAAAAGTGTCATAACATACATGTTTCACACATTTGACTTTTAACTTAAAATATCACTAGAAAATAATCTACAAAAGGTTATATGTATTTTGATTGTTTACTTATTATTTTAATAAACCTTTTGAGGTTACATACAATTCTTTTTTACAGTTTTTCTGAACAACAAAATGGCAAAGTCTTCATGCAAATAATCACAAATATCAACCAATATTTCAAAATGTAATTTGATTGAAAGCTCTTTGAAATGTGTGTCTGTGTGTGAATATGAGGAGGTGAAAAAAACATGTTATAATTGCAGAAGTTGATAAAAAGCAAATCAATTGTTGAATATTAATTAAATAAATGTATTTAAATGTAATTTTAAATGCAAGTGATTTCGTAAAAGTGCTGCAAACTGACCTGAGAGCAGGATCCTGCTCCTGCGTTTCTCTCCATGCTTCTTCTCCGGATGTGTCTCTGAAGTAAACTCTAAGTTGCTCTAACCCTAAATATAACCCACTTTCACCCTGCAGACCCCCCCCCCCCTGGGTCTGGGGGGATTCTCCCCCAGGAGATTTTTTGAAATACTAACATATAAACTACTATTCTCCGTGGGGTCTTACGGCAACAATCTTGATTTTGATCAAAGGCCAGAAGACTCGGAAAAACATCAGCAAAGATGTTTTATTGAGAAGATGATCACTACGTGACAGAAGTTTTCAAAACCGTTCATGGTCTCCGGTACTTCCAGTCCAACATCTACTGCATGCACAGCGTTAGAAAATCGGGCCTTCAAAATAAAAGTTTGACTTTTTTCCCCCCACTCACACATCTGCGACCCATTTGGGTCGCGGACCCGTTTCAAGTGGGTCACAGATGTATGACTGGTATAAACCATGTTCGTATATACAATCTAGAGAAAAGCAAAACGGCCTCCGTTTAAAGTAATTCTGTCTTTCTGCTTACCGCATCATTTATGAGAATACATTTCATAACATTAACACATTAACATATTTCAGGTAGTTTTCAATAACATTTCCGTATTTATTTATTTCTCCAAGTTCTGTTTTTGTGTGCACTGAGGAGTCTCAAACAGGTGTTTGTTTAATCATTTTAAGATTGGCTTTAATTCATTTTTGCAAATGAATTCTTCATGTATGATACATGAGAGGTAACATTTTATTTATGGTATTATTTCCACATATGTCTTTCCATTCTTCCTTCTGCCAACGGTGTCGCAGTCTCTCCCGTTTTTGTGCGTACGGATGGGTCAGAGTGTCCGTGGAAGACCGTACATTTTCCTGTCAAGTTTATTTTTTATAAATCGCAAAGATTACTTAGAAACTGGCGTATGCCATCTGAACATCAGCAGGAGAGGACTCTTTAAAGTAGAGACACTACATACGGATATACACCTGAACATCAGCAGGAGAGAACTCTTTAAGGTAGAGACACTACATACTGATATACACCTGAACATCAGCAGGAGAGGACTCTTTAAAGTAGAGACACTACATACGGATATACACCTGAACATCAGCAGGAGAGGACTCTTTAAAGTAAAGACACTACATACTGATATACACCTGAACATCAGCAGGAGAGGACTCTTTAAAATAGAGACACTACATACTGATATACACCTGAACCCATATCTAAATATATGTATATTTGTTTTCTCATTAAACAAAAGTACAGGTTTAAAGTCCTTAAAATAACACAAATGTACCCCAGTGTTAGGGATAACAGTGGTAGGAATATATTGTGATGAAGTGAACACTGACCTGAGTTCTGGGTGTCTCTTTGTTCTCCTCCATGCTGCTCTCAGTGCTCCTTCTCCTGCTGGGTCTCTGAAATAAGTATTAATCAATCAATGTTTATTTATATAGCCCAATATCACAAATGTTACATTTGTCTCAGTGGACTTCACAGTTTGTACAGAATATCAGTATGACAATACGACACCCTCTGTCCTTAGACCCTCACATCGTACAAGGAAAAACTTCTGGAGAAAACCCACAGTTTAAAGGGGAAAATGGGAGAAACCTCAGGGAGAGCAACAGAGGAGGGATCCCTCTCCCAGGACGGACAGACGTGCAATAGATGCAGTGTGTACATTGAAAAGATAATACATTTGCAACATAGGTAGTCCAAATGTTTGGAAATGCATGTGTCTATAATAGGAAGACGAATCCACGAGGATATCCATCCAGGACTTATGATCCAGGACCACAGCACAGCCACGACTCAAGATCCAGGGCTTGCGATCCGGACTCAGGACCACAGCAACAGGATCAGCCACGACTCAGGATCCCGGCGTAGATGAACACCAAAAAGAAATGTGTGGAAGCTGGGTTAATCGGAACATGAGAGTACACAGGTATAGACAGAGAGAAGGAAGAAGGAAGGTGTCCCCCGACAAACTAAGCCTATAGCAGCAAAACTAGGGGCTGAATCTAATCAGCCCTAACTATAAGCTTTATCAAAAAAGAAGGTCTTAAGCGCACTCTTAAAAACGGATAGGGTGTCTGTTAACACTACAGTCAACACAAAACCAATCTACAGCTAAGAAGTAGCTTAGCAGCAGAGGTGGGAAGTGCATTTACTCAAGTACTGTACTTGTATGTATGTATGTGTACAATGTATGCTACTTCTACTCCGCTACAGTTCAGCGGTACATGGTGTACTTCTACTCCACTACATGTATTTAATACCTTTAGTTACTTTACAGATGTGGATGAATGATGTGAAATATAATCAAGCGTTAAATCAGACTTTAGTTCCACCTGGAGTAAATTCACAAGCTACCCTGCAGTATACAAATTCATTCAAACTAGCTGCACCTTTACCAGCTTTGAGAACACTTTAATGATCAATCATTATAAGACATATCATATATATTATTCTGATATGGACCAATCTGCACAATGAATACTTTAACTTTATTTTGATGCTACTTGAGTACTTCTCCCACCTCTGAAATATAGCATTTGTCTCAAAGTACACGGTGGTGAAATCTTGTTTACTTTTATTCCTAAACACCTCAGTGCAAGATATATAAGACAAACATTCATGTACTATAGTACCAGCAGTAAAAGTACAGCCTCATTTTTAGCCTCATGCTCAGCGGTAAAAGTGCAAAGTATTATCAGTAGCAAAAGTATTCGGTATTATATAAAAGTACTCTGTTTTATTCGTAGTAAAATTACTCTGTATTTTAGTAAACGTACTCAGTATTATCAGTAGTAAAAGTTCTCAGTATTTTAGTAAAAGTACTCAGTATTACCCGGTGTTTCTGCTCCTCTTTGTTCTTCAGTTTATTGATGTTCATCGACTAGCATTAGCCACCTAGCATGAAGCAGCTATCAGCAGTTAAGGACCCGGATGAAGAGGTGGAATTGTTCTAAAGCTCCTCTCGTCTCTTCTTCTCCCGAGAGAAATGGGTTATATTCTAATATATCACAGTTTTACAAGAACTGGATCCTGCATGAGAGCATGGTAGAGAGCAGAAGTAATAATAATACCTTTTACATTTACAAAATAAGTTATTAAAGAAAGGAACAACATTCATGTTGCAAAATATAAAATAATTCTGGAATATAATTATGAATTTACTAAAAAATATTATTTCAGATTCAATTGACCAACAGTTCAAATAAAGCAAATGAAGACCATTCATAAAAACCTAATGCAAAGTGATTTTAAGTAATTAGAAATGTTTTATTTGGTTTAGCAATTTCTTTGGTAACTTTTTTATTTCTATTTAGAAATTTTAGTCATTCTTCTTTTCAGATGCAGAATTGTATCTTTTTGGTTTCAGACATTTGGCCCTAAAATTGCCTCGGGGGGTGGAGCTTAGCTGAGAGGGGTTTCACATGAGTGACAGGCCTTCTGTAGTCATGTTGCCTTCAGGGACATGAGATATCCAGAGAAATATTGTACTTTTTTAACACAAAACTCCCGTCAAAACTTGAATTTTCAAATACATTTTATTTTTTCAAACAACATTTACTGTGAACAATGTGACAATTCACATTTCATTTTTGAATTCATATTCACATTTTTGGGTACAATGAAGTCAAATAATGAACATGAGATAAAATCAGATTATATCAGAGTTTAAAAAAAATCAAAGAGTCTCTCTTCTCAAACCCAACGTGTCTTACGGCCTGTCCACACAGCGGCGTGCATTGAAGCTTCAACACTTCTGCCCATTCACTTTGAATGGGGTGACGTCACGCTTTGCCGAACTGCATTGTGGGAGCGTTGCTTCGCTTTGCTCGCTTCAAAAGTTGAGCAATGTTCAACTTTTGAAGCTTCGGCGGAAGCGTCAGCCAATCCAATCATATGCCAGTACAAGCTCTAGCCAATCAAACCGCGAGCTTGTGTGTCTGGGGCGTGAGATTCATGTGATTGGTTGTTGGTCGAGTTTCAGACAAGCTCAACGGCAAGCTTCAACGCTTGCCTCCGTGTGGACGCTGCATAACTGCTCGAAAGTTCACTTAAAAAGGGGCAAAAAAGCAAACTCAAACATTTCAATTGAATATTAATGTGAAATAAAAATATTCAGTGAATGTTGGGTGACAACAAATAGCAAGAGCCTTTCTGAACTCAATGCTCACTAAAATTGCAACTGCACAAATAACGGATAATGGATTAAGAAATATTATACATAAAGACTGTATTAAGAAATATATGTAGACCATCAAGAGATGCTTCTATTGACAGATGTTCCCTAAACGTCTCATTTACAGGCTCCTGGTAGACATATCATTGTTAGTTTCAGCAACGCAGCAACAGTATAAGGCTGTTTTAATCAAAAAATATTTGTATTAACCAGAGCACTCTCGTACTTTCTAAGTGTGTAAGGACAACAGGATTTTGGGAGGGCTGAATGTAGTCCATAAAAAAACATATTTATTAGAATGTAAACTCACTGTTGGTCAGCTTTACGTTTGAACAAAAGAAGGGGGAATGCTAGCTTGACGCAGAAAAGGATCAGATGGATGCAGAGTGAGTGCGCTGGTGGGATCTAAAGGGGAACTGATTTGAATAAAGGCTTTCCCACGCTGTTCACACCAGTATTGCTTATCTCAAGTATGTATACGATGATGCCTCTTAAGATGACCTGATGTAGTGAATGACTTGTCACACTCGTCACAGCTGTATGGTTTCTCTCCAGTGTGAGTAAATTTGTGGGTTTTAAGATTACTAAATTGAGAAAAGGTTTTCCCACATTGCTCACACCAGTAGGGTTTCTCTCCGGTGTGAATACGACGATGGCGCTTAAGATAACCTGATGAAGTGAATGACTTGCGACACTGGTCACAGCTGTATGGTTTATCTCCAGTGTGAATACGACAATGTATTTGGAGCTCACCTGATGTAGTGAACGTTTTTCCACACTCTTCACACCAGTATGGTTTCTCTCCTGTGTGAATACGATGATGGATTGTGAGATCATTTGATTGAGTAAAAGTTTTCCCACATTGCTCACACCAGTATGGTTTCTCTCCTGTGTGAATACGATAATGCTTCTTAAGATGACCTGATGAAGTGAATGACCTGTCACACTGGTCACAGCTGTATGGTTTCTCTCCAGTGTGAATACGACTATGTATTTGGAGATCACCTGATGTAGTGAACGTTTTCCCACACTCTTCACAGCTGTATGGTTTCTCTCCCGTGTGAATACGATGATGGATTGTGAGGTGACTTGATATAGTGAACGTTTTCCCACACTCTTCACAGCTGTATGGTTTCTCTCCCGTGTGAATACGTTGATGGTCTTTGAGTTTACTTGATGTAGTGAAAGTTTTCCCACATTCTTCACAGCTGTGTGGTTTCTCTCCAGTGTGGATTCGCTGATGAGCTGAAAGGTTGCCTTTCTGAGCAAAGGTTTTCCCACACTGGTCACAGCTGTAGGGTTTCTCTCCAGTATGAATGCGCTGATGAGATGAAAGGTTGCCTTTCTGAGCAAAGGTTTTCCCACACTCTTCACACGAGTACGGTTTCTCTCCAGTGTGAATACGATAATGGGACTTAAGTTCACCACGAGTATTTAAAGTTTTCCCACATTGGTCACAGCTGTAGGATTTATCTCCAGTGTGAATGCATTGATGAATCTTTAAAGTATTAGATGTTGGGAAGGATTCGTTACACTGGTCACAGATGTGAGGATCGGTTTGCTTTCTTCTTCTCCGTTCCTAAAATATACAGCGAGAGACAAAGAGTCAGTGAGAGGCCATCGTGCAGAGATCTACAAAAATAAAACAAGCCCATTTGATTTCATATGACCAAATCATACTTAATCAAATTTGATTATGTTTTCTTTTATTTGAAAAACTTTAGTTAAAAAACTCGAAATGTTACTTTATTTCTGAATTCGGACTATCTGAATTATTTTATCTTTTTCAGATTTCTGAATTTCTTTCTGAATTTAATTTAAATCACATTTTCACCACATTTTCTCAGAATTAATTTGATCTGATTTGTTATATTTTTCAGAGGCAATTGTCTATTTTCAGAATTCTGAAAATCTCATTATTTTTGACTTTTTTCAGAATTTTGATTTTTTCGTAATATGGACTTTTTTCAGAATTGTGACATCATTTTTCGAAATTGTGACTTTTTTCATAATATAGTATATTTTGTCATAGTACTTACTGTTTCTCAGGATTTTGACTTTTTTAGAATTTGATTATTATCACATTTCTTACTCTATTATATTTACACGTTTCAGAATTACACATTTTTTCAAATTTGAGATTTGAAATTTTGCCTAGTTATTTCATTTAATTTCAAACCTTTATTTATCCAGGTGTATCCCATTGAGATCATTGATCTCTTTTTTTTCAAGGGAGACCTGCTCAAGTAGGTTCCACATGAAACATAAAAACATAAACAGAACAACAAAAAGTACATTTTACAGCATCATTACAGGGATTACAATTTACAATAACTATCCACATGAGCAGGTACCAACAGCTTCCGATTGAGTAGCATCCAACCGAGCTTTACAAATATTTAGTGGCACCAGATTGCTCAGTTTCCATTTCAATTGCAGACTATTCCAAGACAGAGGAGCTGCGCATCTAAAAGCTATTTTCCCTAAGACAGTCCTAGCAGTTGGCACATTTAATAAAACCAAAGCATGCGATCTCAGGCAGTAGCCACTTACAATTCGCCGTGAGATCAGGGAGCAGATGTAGGATGGAAGTTTCCCTAACATCAGTTTTTTAAGCAGGTTATTGACATGACGTTTTTTTTATAGTGAAAACCACCCTTGAATGATGGGATAGTAGACTAAAAGCTTTAGGAATCCAAACTATAACATATAATAAGTACCCTGTATCAAGATTGATGCAAAACAAGTGACATTTGACCTTTCTAGAGAGGTTTAGCACCTTTGGGGTCATTTGGGTGGATTTGCCGTTTCTCTGGAACCCATTGGTCGATTTTGGTGATTGACATCTCTTTTGAACCGTTAGAGCCAATATAATCGAAGGGGAAGTTCCACATACACACAAACGTTACCATTGCGGAGTGTTACGTTCCCTACTGGACTAGGAGAACCAAAGGGAAGTAACAAAATATAAAATGACCGGGCGAGAGAAAAAGGAGAGGAAACGGATCTCTGAAACCACAAGATGGTCTTTTAATGGACAAAAGAAAAAGGGCTCACCAGCCAACTTGCAAAGCAAACTAAAATAAACTAGAACACAAATATACACTGGAGCACATCTCCTAATAATGAACAGAACACAGGTTTCACACAGAGACCGAGACACCATGCTGCACACATACCAGAGGAGAAGGAGAGGCCACTGCAGCCTTCCTCAGGTGCTTTAAGGAGGCCCTGATTGGGGATTGGGAGCAGCTGAGGGAGAGGCTGCAGTGGCCTCTCCTCTCCTCTGGCATGTGTGCATGTGTGCAGCATAGTTCTAGAGAGAATCAGGGGGAAAGAGAGAGAGAGAGAGACACACAAACACCCACACACACAAGCACCCACTACGGCACGTAACAGAAGTGAGAGTGACGCACACGCAGTTGAAAGCTATGTTACGCTCTGAAAACTGAAAACTGAAACCTAGGCTGAAACTAGTAAATATGAAGATGGATTATCAGTAATAATTTCAAAGGGACACATAGACATTGGATTAACCATTGGATTAACCTTCAGCAGCATTTTTGTCATTTTGATGCCATTGAACACAACTTTTGATCAGAACAACAGCAAAGGTAAGACTATTCACGTTATAGCTCCGTAAAGCTATGTTGTGTGATGTCTGGGTTTGCTTCCCATGCCGCGAGTTCTGGTAGCTCAGTGATGATACTTATATTTCTGGAATCTGTGGAATCTCAGTTTGCTAGCTGATGTATTTTTTGTGCAGATCCGATAAGTGGTGGAGTGTTTCTACCGTGAGTTATGTGCTAAGTGCGTTAGCATTTTTTTGCTCAGGGCTAATTCAGAGGGTCGGCGTTAGACTTGTGTTTTGTTTGGCTAAAAATGGTTCATATCGTCAGTTAGCAGAGTTTCTTCCCGTTAAGTGTATATGACACATTCATAGTTTGTTAAATATTAAGAAGACCTCAGACGCTGTTTCTTGCAAGATGTTGACGTGGGCAAAACGGGGTATTTCCATTTTATGCTACTTCTACTCCATGACAGTTCAGAGGTAAATTGTGTACTTTTACTCCACTACATGTATTTAATACCTTTAGTTACTTTACAGATCTGGATTAATTATGTCAAATATAATCAAGTCTTGAATCAGACTTTAGTTCCACCTGGAGTAAATTCACAAGCTACCCTGCATTAACAAAGTCATTAAAACTAGCCGCACCTTTACCAGCTTTGAGAACACTTTAACCTTTTAATCCCGGAGTCCCCGCCCCCGGGGGCTAAAAACAACAATATTCACTAAACTGTGTCTCAGGGCTTCTTAACATTTAACAACCAATTAACGTGTCATACCTACTTAACGGGAAGAAACTCAGCTATCAGACAATATTAACCATTTTTAGCTAAACAAAACACAAGGGTAATACCAAGCCTCTGAATTACCACTTAGCAAAAAAAATGCTGCACAGAACTCTCGGTAGAACTATTTGTATTACATATTGGATCTGCAAAAACAAGATATCAAATGAAAGCTGAGATTCCACAGATTCCAGAGGTATAAGTATCATCACTGTGAAGCGAATGCAAAACTAGACAACACACAATTTAGCATTACGGAAGAAAAAAGGCAAATACGTCTTACCTTTGCTGTTTTCTGATCGAAAGTTGTATTCAATGGCATTAACACGCATACAAACGCGGCCGAAGGTTAATCCAATGTGTATGTGTCACTTTTAAATGATTACTGATAATCCATCATAAAATGAGAGCTACAACCCAGCTTCCGGTTTTGGGCATTCTGGCTGCGCATCACTCTATTCACCAATGGTAATATTTAGATGGATTTGAGGGACTTAACCTCGATTCTATTGGCTCTAACGGTTCAAAGAGTGGTGTCAATCATCAAAATCGACCGATGGGTTCCAGAGATATGGCAAATACACCCAAATGACTTTAGATATGGTTTTTTTCTTTCTAAATCTCTCTAAAAAGGTCAAATTGCACTTGTTTTGCATCAATCTTGATACAGGGTACTTATTATATGTTATAGTTTGGATTCCTAAAGCTTTTTGTCTACTAACCAATCATTCAAGGGTGGTTTTCACTATAAGTCAATTTTTTTTTTGGACGGACACAATATTTTTTTTTTTACTATGTTCAATCTGAATTTACTTTAAAATAAAAATGAATCTATATTGATTCTGACTCTTCTACATCCAACTCAGAGGTTTATCATTGCTTTGAGAACAACGATTATTAATTTACCCCTTTTAGAAGTGAAGATATAGTCATTTGTTCTGGGAATGTCATTTTCGAGCCTGAGACCTGAAAACAGGCTCAGGGCTTAACAGGTTAATAATATAATAATAATATCATAATAAATAATATAATAGATCAATAATTATAACACATATCATATCTATTATAGTATTTTTTTTCATAATACAGTTTCTCATGATTTTACTGCATTTTCTTCTGACTATTTTTTCAGAATTCAGATTTGTTCTTAATTAGGTTATAACATTGTTTTATCTTTTTTATATTTAAATGCTTCAGAATTACAGTATTGAGATATTTCCAAACTCTTATAATAATCTAAATGTTTCTGAATTATAATTTTGACTTAAAAAAATAATCTGAATTCTGACTTTTTTTCTCGGAATTTTGATATTATCATCGGAATTGGATTTTTCTTAGAATCTTTACTTTTTTTACACATTTTTGACTTTTTCCTTAGAATTTTGACTAAGGCTCTGGTTTCTGACAGAGGGTTAAAATAGGTGCTGCAGCAGAGGCAGTGTGAGACAAATAAAGAGCTCTTTCTTTTTTAAATTATTTTTTATTCAGCTTTTCACATGTATGCAGTCATAGATAATACAATATTTTCTGTAAGCCTTCTGTAGTTAACAGTGAAATCTCAAATCAAACTTACATATTTGTGGATAATACAGAGGCAGGCCTCTGTCATGGCTTGGCTATCAGCCACAACAAACGCGCGACAGAAAACGAGGACGTGAATAGGAAAAAATAGTGTATTCACTGCTGCCGAAGGACACAAACAGGCAAACAAATGACGAAACAAAAGGTCAGCTGGCCGTGGCTGCTCTTCGCGTTGCGTCCTCCTGCCACAGAGAGAGCGAGAATGAGAGCCGGCTCGGTTCTTTATCCGGCTAGCTCCAGCCGCCAGGTGTCCTCAATCCCAGCTGATAGACCAAAGGGAAAACCTTAAAGGAACATACACACACCAGAGATAACAAGGCAGGGGTCGTCACACCCCCCCCCCCCCCTTAAAGTCGGTGTCCCCAGGACTACCGGCACACCAACCCTGACAAAACAAAAAAAAACACCAGTAATGAACAACAAAAATACAAGACATACGGCACCCCACTTCCAACAAAACCAACAATTGCAACATACAACCCTCACACTGCCAACCGCTCCTCCCACACCCAGCCACATCTTTAGCAACACAGGTAAGCAACCTGAGAAGCACACTTTAAAAGGATGGGCAGAGCGAGAACGATTTATCAAACAGTATGACAGACAATACATTACCGTCACGGCCCATGTTTCCTCAGTTGT